AATAAAATAAACCCATATATAAAATAAAATAAACCCATATATAAAATTAATAAAATCAACTCATACATAAAATAAATAAAATCAACTCATATATAAAATAAAATCAACCCATATATAAAATAAAATCAACTCATATATAAAATAAATAAAATCAACCCATATATAAAATAAAATAAAATCTGCCCATAAATAAAATGTCCCTTTCATTTTGTGTCATGTTTTGAATCCAGATGTGTGCAACTGTTTCTCTGAACGGGCCACATAAAGAACCAGGACTGTGGGGGAGGTCTGGACCGACAGGCTAAACTCAGTTCTGTCAAGTGTGACGTTTAATAATAACTGTAAATATGATTTTAATTTGCTGCTAACAGTAAATATTGACCTGAACATAACAGCGCGAGTTAAAACTTTATTTAAGTTGAATGACGAACGTGAATTTTGTGACGTTCATGTTCCGCCTCTGTCGGCGGTGAAGGACGCGCACATGACGACGCAGCTGATTTTAATTGTTTTTGTGTCGGGATGTCTGCAGGAAGGCAGAGCTGCTGCGTGGACGTCAAACGGCCATCTCTCCCCGGGCCTCCCCTCAGCCAATCAGCACGCTCCTCACGCAGCCGCCAAGCGACGCCTGTCGTACGACTACAACCGAAACACGGTGGAGTGACTCGCCGGCGTCACCGGACCGCAGGATCCGAAGACGACCGACAGAGCTCTCACGTTTCTACACTTTGCACACTTCCTGGTTGTTCCAAGCTGAATCTGATGTTTCAGAAGACTGGACGGGCACCGGCGTCCTGCACGTGTGTCCACCGTCCTGTTTGGACTTGAACCTTCAGACGCGTCAGAGCATGAAGACTTGTAGCTCCGTGGTTCTCGCCGCCATGTTGAAGGAGCTCGAGCTGATATTTGAAGATATTTCACAGAACAGTCATCGCCCAGTCGTTGTGCTTCAAAATCTTTATCAGCAAAAAATATCTTCTTGCACTGATTCACCTTAATTTATACAAAAACACATAAATCTGCTCACGTTTATTCAAATGTTGTGGATGATTTTGAAGGTCGGCTCACCTTCAAACTGTTTGTTGCTCAACTCGGCTCATTGTGAAACACATTTTTATAAACATTATACTGGACGTCAAACAATTTAAATCTTTGCTAATCCTTTCAACTGTTTAATTAAAAATAGGAGGTCAAGTCAAACTGAGAAGTTTTGTTATAAAATTGGCTCATTTTGAATTTAACGTTCCAACAGTTCGACCAGTCGGGACAAACTGGTCACAGTTCTGCATCATTTTATCTAAACTGGAAGGGATGAAGAGTCCAGCTGCTCAAACAGTTCTACATCATGTTTAAAAGTTGTGGTTTCAGTGGTTTGATGGTCTGGACTGACTGTTGGATCCTGATCCAGCTTCAATGGTTTTCAGTGCAGAATCTGGTTTCTGATCATTTTTTAGAAACGAGCGAAGCCTTTTATGGACGACTGAACGGCAGAACATCTTTACAGTCAGCACCGTTTCACAGATTTGCCCTGCGCTGTTAAAAGTTCTGGGTTTTGGACCGGCACATGGTAAAAAGCTGGATGATCCACTTGTTGTTGAGTCATACAAGAAGTTCAGATTTTAATTGGTCAAAAATGGGGCAGTTTAGCCTTTAAATCCTCCTCCTGCAGCACACCTTAGAGGGAGAAAAATTTATATAAACATTTAAATGTTTAGTTTTATTTAATCTCTAACCCTTCACCTTAATTCCACTCATTTCTGTTTTCATGGATTTGAAGCAGCGTCTCATCAGCCACTTTATTAATCAGGTTAGAAAGAGAAACTCTGTCATTACTTCTAACCGGGTGGTGCGCCGTCTGATAAATAAGGAGTGGACCCACTCTCCACACTGTGCAGCATGTGGTCCGTCCATTTAATTGCCATGGAAACGTGGTTTGTGTAGCACAAACTAAGTCCAAGTTGGAACAAAGTCTAAACGGTAGTTCCACTTACAGCACACACACACACACACACACACACACACACACACTCACCCGTCAGGACGGGTCAGACCCTACAGTCTGAGAAGCGCTGGATTAAACTGACAGTTCTCAAACTTTTGAGTTTCCAGCTCAACTTTAAATTTGGAAATATTTAGAGAACAGACGCATCTCAAACATGGAACCATCGTTTTGTATGTTTTTGTTTTCATCCATGACGCCTGCTTTGATCTCTCTTAAGTCTAAACAAGCTGTTGGTAATCTGTTCCAACGTTAATCTGATTTCTGTAGCTCTTCAGGGCCCCTGACTTGTGGTTTCACGACCCACCTCAGGGTCCCGACCCCAGCTTTGAGAACCACTGGTTTATTTGATTTGTGCTCATTTCCAGAGAAAACAAAACGTTTCAGGATCTGAATCTTAAATGTGTGTCGTCACTGGCTGTTTCATTTGTAGACACTAATAAATTACAGTCGTTAACAATTGTTTTCATCATTTTGACCAAATAATCTCTATTATTATTATTATTATTATTATTATTCTGTTGCATCCTTGGGGGTTCCAGTGATTCTGCAGGTCTACGATGAGCTGGTGTTTCAGTTATTTGCAGGTCATTTTGTGAGAACTTCCAGTCGGTCAAAATTTTCATTTTTCTATTTAACCCCATTTTATTTTTTCAACCATTTTTCCTGCAACAGAAAACTACTTGGACATGTTGTTTTTGTACTTTATTCCAGATTGTTGCATTGCCGCTGTTCTGGGAACAGAGCTGCAACTGAACCGAATAATAATTATTATTATTATTATTAGACCTGTCACAATAACAAATTTTGCTGGGTGATTAATTGTCTCAGAAATTATTGCGATAAATGATAATATTGTTTGAAATTTGACAATAATTAGTCATTATTGTCAACTTTAAGAAGAAATGTTTAATTTGTTTTGTGTGTAGTAACTTTTTTGACCACCGGATGGCAGTATAAGACTGTTTGAACCGAAGGATGGATAGTGAGGGAGCGAGCAGCGTGTCTCTTTAAGAAAAATGGGAGGGAGGCTCCTTGACGTGACATGGGCTGTCTCTCGAGTTCTCAAAATGGCGGATAGTCGTTGTGGTTTGAGCTCTTTAGCATAGCATTTTTCACACAAAGCTTTTAATTAAAAAAAAAATCAGTAAACAAGTTCTCAGCTTCTTTTTGCAGAGAAAAACAACTTTTTACACGAAGGCACGAGTTTCAACCGTGAATTTTGGAGCTTCGACAAGACGGAGGTTTTTTTTCTCCGAGGTCGGCGTGTTAGCTTAGCTCGTATAGCTTCTCAGCTTAGCTGCTTTTAACGATCCAAAAATGGGATTTTGGCCTCGTCATCCAGTGTCTTCAGTAGAAAGAGAGACACGAAGAAACGATAACGCCGATAAATGAAAATGAGGTTGATAATTTTATCGTGCGATTAATTGATTTTTTGTTTTATCGCGACAGGCCTAATTATTATAATACATTTTATATGAAGGCGCTTTTCATGCCGCTTAAGCAATACAAATGCAATAAACACAAAAGAATAAAACAACAAATGAAAAGTAACAATGTAAACGTCATACGTAACTTAAATACAGTGAGATGGTTAAAATGAACATGGAATTAAACGTTTAATTCACTCCAACATTTAAGAATAAACATTTTCTTTAAAGCACTGTTAGGAACTGATTGAATCAATCAGCAGAAATGATGATGTCATCTTTTGGTTTGAAATTAACACGGAGCCTTGACCTTCAGCTGATATTTATGTAAATATGCTGAAACAACTTCTGTTACTTCTTTAACACATCTGGATTCATCGCACACACACCTGGATTCATGCAGATCTGAAATATTCTCTCACAAAGGAACAAACCTGAGCATTGACTGCAGAAGAACAAAGAAAATGATCATTTAGTTTCTGGTTAAGTGATATATTTGTGATTTTATTGGGTTTTAGCAAAGAAATAAATAAATGTGACAGGAAGGTCTGTTGAAACTTGTGGTGACACTTGAGAAACATCTTTCAGTTACAGGAGCTCATGCACGTTGGTTTCTGACTCTTCCTGAACGTGTCGCTGAAAGGAAAATTTCACTTTCTTTTATTTCTGGTTCCAGTCGTCTTGTCTGGTTCTCGTTCAGGTTCTTGGGTCCAGCTCGCAGGTAAAACTAATCCTGCCGCTGGTTCGGTCTGTTGTCGGGGACTTTCTGGGTTTGAGCTGCAGATACTGAACCAAACGTCGCCTCGATCGTCTGCGATCGAACGGAAACGACCGAGGGCGCATCGTTTCTCAAGAAGATTTTCTAATCTGTTCAAATGTAATAAAATAATCTGCACTGAATCTTTATTTGTTGTAACGATCAGATCAAAAACACCCGAAGGCTTCATTTTAATCAAACACATTTTGTAATTGTGTAAAAGTGACATTTGTTACGCAGAATTCATGTTTTTTAAGACGAGTCGTCCCGGCCTCGGATCACCTCCATGTTTGACTGCAGGTAAGATGATGTTTATCTGAAATGTAGCGTTTCTGTTGAGTTCAGAGAATTTTCCCAAAAGATGTTTGCTAAATGTGAGACGGGCCTTTATGCTCTTCGTGCTCAGCAGAGGTTTTGGTCCTGAAATTCTCCCATGGAAGTGAACTCTGACCTTGACTGAGGCAGGTGAGGCCTGCAGAGCTTTAGGTGTGGTTCTGGGTTCGTTTGGGTCCTCCTGGACGAGCTCTTGGAGTGGTTTTTGTTAGCTGGCTGGGAAAGTTCACTGCTAACGGCTTTATTTAAGTAATCAAAGTGTAGCTCATCAAATTAAACATGTCTGTTAAACAATCACTGTTAATTCTTGATGTAGCATCCAGGGAAATTTACTTTTTCCATTTGGGACGAGGTCGGGTTTGATAGCTCTTTCTCTTTAAGAGATTAAATCATTTGGAAACTGGCTTTTGTGTTACCTCGGTTTATCTTTAACATCTGTTCACTGATCACAGCAGTGCATAGATAAACACGTTATTTGGCGTGACCATGAAAACAGTAGTTCTTATGTCGTTTTAAACTCGGATTACAGACAAGACGAGGAGCTCAGAAATAAACTTGTTTTTATTGGTAAATAAAATGCAGAAAGACTTACCGTACAAAACTCAAGGCATTAAGCACAGGATGAGCTCAGATTTCAACTTTCAAAAACGTATAATGCAGCTTTAGGCCCGATACCTTCATTTTCACACATATCAGGAATTTCATCCATGTGACCAGAGTGGCCCCTCTGCCTTAAACCTTAAAGATCTTATCGAACCCCTATTGTGAGGATTGATAGGGCAATGTATCTATGTTATCTCACCTTTATAACTCGAACCCCACACTCTGCTCTTTGACTTGAGAAAGCTCCTCGGATGAAAAGACAAGCGTCTTCTGTTACAAATAAAGTCCAGTTGTTTTTGTCTTGAACTGTTTTGAATTTAAGTACAGGAGTTACTGGGGAGCATGTGAAATACTTGATGCTGACTAACAACAGATATACGGACTGGTGAGACTGACGAGGAAGTGGAGACACCTGGGTAAAGAACGGACTGGGAGCAGGTGAGAGTGGGTGGAGCTGAAGCAAAGGAGAACTGACGGACGAGAAGAAACGAACAGTGGCACAAATGAACGCATAAGGAACATCCATCCATCATCTTTACCCGCTTCTTCCTTTTCAGGTCACGGGGGTCACTATGTCCAGCTATCACTGTGCAAGAGGCAGGGGACACCTGGACAGGTCTCCAGTCCATCACAGGGACACAAAGAGACAACCATTCACTTTCTCACCTAGGAACAGTTTAGAGTTACCAATCAGAATAACATGCATGTTTTTGGTCTGTGGGAGGAAACCCACACATGCACGGAGAAAAAAGTGCAAACTCCAACCAGAAAGATCCCCAGCTGGGATTTGAACCGGCGACATGCTCGCTGAGAGGCGGCAGCTCTACCACCTGTGCCACTGTGCCGCCCCATAAGGAACATGTCGATCAAAAAAAAAAAAAAAGACATAAACAGTAAAAACAGTAAAAACACGGATCCTGATTCTTTCAGGTTCACTACAGTGTGTCAAACATTTTCCCAGAATGCACTTCAACTGCAGGGAGAACCTTTTTCTTCCTCACATCAAATTTTTATGAAAAGCACTTTTTTTTTAAACTAATCGAGACAAATTCTAGGGAGCACTCTCATGCAAGACCTTTGCAATCTGTTAGTTCTCAGAGTGTTGGGAATGACTCTCAGCTACTACCAAACTTTTTTTTTTGTTTAAAACCTGAAAAATTGGCCCAGTTCTGTCTCGTTTTGTGATGCCTGCTCGGGATAAGCTGCGTGGACAGCTCGAATCAGGTTGACTCCAGTAGTCAATCAGCTGTAGACGTAAACCCATTGATTACTTCCTGAGAGGGTCATATCGACTGCTACATGTGATATTTTACTAACAGCCAGACAAACCCAAACACTGGAAAATAAATATACATTTCTCCTTTCAGGCAGCAGACGGTAGTAAACGAAGCACTTGGTAATAAAATAAATCTAAAACCAGGAGGGATGAGATTTGGCTAAATAAAGAAGTTTGAGTCCGTTAGAAATCTGGTCACGCTCACATTTTATCTTGAAACTGCTGTCACAGCCTGATACTCAGAACCCAGAGGTAAACAAACAAAAGTTCACTCAGACACTTTTAACTGGGTCATCTTCAAAACATGTTGGGATGTTTTTGTCAGAAAAGTCCAGCAAGCTTGTGCAGACAGAGGCGCTCTTTGACTTCCTCAGAACGGCTGAAATAAACAAACATATTCAGCTGTTTGTAACAAACTTTAAAGTGCCTCGAACATCTCTCGGCGCTCGGATCAATAGGGGCCTTTGTGCTGCAGACAGAGTAAAAATCTTTTATTTGCTGAGTCACAGCGCGCTGCGTACCAGTAACACAACGTTTCCCTGACCTCACCGTTCACGCCGCATGATTCGGCTGCTATTTTCCATAAAAACATCCGAAACAACCGAACTGTTTCGAATGCAGCGTGGTCGGCGTGTTTTGTTGCTCCTAGCAACGTCTGGGTGAGAAAACAAGCTCTGACTTTACAGAACAGAGCTCCAGGATCACGAGCTAGCTTTGGGCTACTAGCTTCTAGCTACATTTAGCTATCCTTTTACGGTACTATAATTAGCTTTTAGCCATTTGCAACTTTAAGCTTCTAGCAACATTTGGCTACTTTTAGCTAACATTTTACTCCATTTAGCTTTTAGCTTTAGCCTTATGCAAATTTAAG